CCGGCAGCCGAAGCTGCTGCCGAAACGTGGGGTCGGGGTGTCTTTTCCCAGCCTGGGGGAGTTTTTTTTAGGGATGCCACAGCCAGGGCCGGCCAGGAAAGGCACCAGGCGCTGCTGGGTGGGATTCAGCCGACTTTTTCGCCGCCGGCAAGGCTGGATATATACCGGCAACATGGGAAAAATCAGGCTCAGGAGGCTCATCTGGGGCTCCCTTTGCTCTGCAAACCAGAGGGTTGTGTAAAGGAAAAAAAAAAAAGTTTTTTTTTTTGTTTTTTGCATCGTCCCGGAAAAACCAACCTCAAAGCCGAGCCAGACCCGGAGCCGGCTTGCCGGTGCCGGAAAATAACAGGGAGGAGAAAGCCCGGAAAGAGGGTTTCTGACCAAAGCCGCAGGCGGGTTTCGCAGACCCCTTGGAGGGGGGAGAAAAGAGAGTTTTGCGGGGAGAAAAGAGCTTTTGGGGGGAGCAGAAAAGAGCATTTCAGGGGTGGCCGGGAGCACTTTGGAGGTGATAAAGGGCGTCCTGGCCCTGTGCACCTGGGCCCTGAATTTTTGGGGCTTTTCCTGGGCTTTCGCGGGTTTTATGGGGTGTTGCTGGGTGCTGGCCTGGTTTCACCCTGCCTCCGGTTCAGGCATGCCTGGCGCCTGAGCGTGGGCTGCAAACGCGCAGAGAAAAGCGCCTGTAATTATAGGATTTGTGGAGCCCATGGGGTGAAACTGAGGCACCGGTGCCCGCTGAGACCGGACACTTCGGTGCACGTCCTGGCGGCAGAGGGGAAACGCATCAACGCGGAGGGGCCGGGGATACGGGGCCAGGGGGGGGGCCAGCCACAGCACGTCCTCGCCCAGCCCCGGGTCTAGCGCTGCTTCTCCCGCATCCATCTGTGAGATGAGCATTGCGGGCTCAGCCCCGGCTCGCTGCCGGCAAACGGAGCAGCGCAGCAGCGCCCTTTTGGGCTTCCCGGCTTCACCCTCCCCCTTCCCCATAGCGGCGCGGCGGCGAGGAGGAGGAGGGCAGGCGGAGGAAGGCTCCTTCGAGTCTTTAATGCAAGAGCACACTCTGCCGGAGAGCCGGCCGGGAACGGCTCCATCTGCTTATTATTATTGTTATGGTTTTTTTTCTTTTTCCCCCGTCGTGGCAGCCGGGCGAACGGCATCACTTGGGGTCGGTGAGCTCCTCGATGGCTCTGCGCAGCTGCAAGAGACAGAGCAGGTGGCCCCGGTGGTGGCCCTGGCGGTGGCCACACGTGTCCTCCCTGCCCGGCGCCCCGCGCTGCCCGTCCTCACCTCGGCCCGCGTCACTGCTCCCACCAGCTCCCCAAAGCGGGTGACGAAGACATGCTGCAGCTTCAGCAGCTCGAAGAGGTGGTGTGCCTGCCGGGGCACGGGCGGACGGATGGGCGGACAGATGGACAGACAGATGGGTGCATGGACAGACAGACGGACAGGGGAATGGATGCATGGGTGCATGGACAGATGGATGGAGAGGTGCATGGATGGAAGGATGGACAGGTGCATGGACACATGGGTGCATGGACAGATGGATGGAGAGGTGCATGGATGGAAGGATGGACAGGTGCATGGACAGATGGGTGCATGGACAGATGGATGGAGAGGTGCATAGCAGACAGATGGACAGGTGAGTGGATGGATGGGGGCATGGATGGATGGACAGACAGGTGCATGGACAGATGGGTGCATAGATGGACAGATGCATGGATGGATGAGTGCATGGACAGATGGATGGATGGGTGCATGGATGGATGGATGGACAGATGCACGGATGGATGAGTGCATGGACAGACGGATGGATGGGTGCATGGATGGACAGTCCTCGAGGCGGATGGGTGCATGGCCGGATGGGTGCATGGCTGGACGGATGGATGGATGGGACCACATGTCCCATTTCCCCCCTCTCCCCCTTTTGCCGGAGCCGGTACCTGGTGCAGCGAGGTCCAGGGCGAGAGCTGGAGCGTGATGGGCTCAATGGCGCAGTCGTCCCCCACCGTGCCTGCGGGCTGCCAGGGCGTGATGACACCCAGATGACGCTGGGGGAAAAAAACAAACAAACAAAAAAAAACCCACACCCCGGGTTTTGGGCTCTCCCCCCCGGCCCGACTCACCTC